AAAAAAAAAAAAAAAAAAAAAAAAAAAAAAAAAAAAAAAAAAAACAATATATATATATATAAAAGAAAGGAATTTTCTTGGCTACTTTTCCTGTTTCTTGGTGCTTTTTTGATGATGGCTTCCTTTGGATGTCTACAATCCAAGTGCTTTGTTGTTGGAACCTCCTTAGGTTGGTCTAATGGTCATTGGAGTCGGTACGAAAGTAGATGGGATTTATGGAAATGTGTTTAAACTATTGTCACTTCCTATATAAGATTAGTTTTGAGTTTCCTTACCTACCATATAAATTGAAGTCAGGTAATTATCCTATAAAATTAGTCGAGGTGTCTGTAAGCTGGCTTGAACATCTTACTAGTTGAAGCTTCTTTTGCCTCTTCTTTTTGGTGTTCGGGAGTATAGCCCTTTTATTGATTTCATTTATCTTAATGAAAGTTTAGTTTCTCAATAGAAACATTATGAGTTCAATTCAACCCCTTTGTTGATTTAACGGTTGAAGTTGGAAAATGATATTATTGATCTGTGATTACTGGTGTTCTGGCCTTTGCAGTAAAAAAGCATTTTAATTTTAGCTGCACAGCACCTTATAAGGGTTACGGAATCTATATTATTGGGACTTGAGAGTAGTAGAGAAAGCAAAATAGAAATTAAGCAACCATAATTGGTGAGTACGTTATGTGCTGATTTGTGTAATGTATGCAGCTGAAACAGGATCAGAAAGTAAGCAATGTATATATTCAATCAACCAGAGATTCAAGCATTTTTCTGATTGGTTATTGAATATCATGGCTACTGGTGACTTGGATGCTTTCTTTCCTGCTGCAACGCGTGAATATGCTCCAATTGTAGATGAAATGTGGAAAGATTCTGCACTTCAGGAAACTTACAGGAGAAGAGATGAACTGCTCAACCTTCCTGATGTTACAAAATATTTTCTTGACCGGGTAAGTATATTTATTAAGATGATTTTGTTACTTTTCCAGCATACACCACACCTTGACAGTTCTTTTCCCCATTCCGAAGGGAGAAAACAGGATTGGGAAAATGCTTCATATTCATATAGATAACACCCATAAAAGAAATTGCTTGACATGCAGTGTACGAATCTTGAAATGTAGGCAAAGTAATTTGATGGTTTTACGTCAAGTTCTGGATACTGATTTATGCATTAAATTTCTAGAAAACCTTGTTTTATAATCAGTAATTGTTGACTACTGTTCTATTTTTTGAACAAAAAATGGAACTTTTCATTGATATAAAAGAGACTAATGCTCAAAGGATACAACCTCCACAAGGGAGAGAAGAAGGCAATTAGAGAAAAACAAAAGAAAACTACAGCAGAAAAATATATCCTGAAATGGCAACGAAAAGTTCAGAAAGAGACCACTGTGAGTAATCAGTGAGGGGAGCCAAGTCAAAATTATCTAACCAAGGAAGTTGCTTGTTATGAAAGATCATTTGATTTCTTTCCAACCAAAGTTTTGAAATGATAGCTGTGCCTACATTGAACCACAAAATCTTGAACTTATGAGCCCAAGGAGGCCAAGAAGCAACTAGAGCACGTTACCCGTGAATGAATTGCAAAACACCCAATGGAGGTTGAAAACAAAGAACCATCTGAACCAGCATTACTGTGAATAGAAACAATCACAGAAAATATGTTACTGGCCATCTGACTCTGATAAACAAAGAGCACAGATAGAAGGAGAGATAATATGCTTTGGAAGCTTCATTTGAAGCACTTTTTAACAATCCAAAGAACCATTCAACATAATCCACATAAGAACATTAACCCTTTTGGGACTTTTGGATTTCCAAAGAGCTGAAAAAACATCCTTCTCTAAAGGGCTTGAGGACACAAAATGACGAGATAACGAATTAACTGAAGAATTGCTCGAAGGTTCAAGAGACCACCTCCTAGAACCCAAAGAAGAAATAGTTGGCTACTGTTCTACTATCGGACTCATTAAACTGCTCTTGGTGTGGGATGAAGACTCACATTCTTTGCTTTGTTATTATAATAGTTTACTGACTCTTGAACTCTGTTTCCCCCTCTCCCAATCCTCAGAAGTGTATAATTATAATTTATAGATCTCCATTTAGTTATCTTCAATGGATGTTTCTGCAGGTGATAGAGATTTCAAGCAATGAATACGAGCCTTCTGACAAGGATATTTTGTATGCTGAGGGAGTCAGTCAAAGCAATGGCCTTGCTTTTATGGATTTTTCTTTTGATGATAGGAGCCCCATGTCTGAAATATATGGTGAAAATCTAGAATTGCCCCCTCCATTAACGAAGTAAAAAAGTTTTTTTTCCCTATGTGGTATTCTTTTCTTCACTCCCATTTTCTTTTTCTCACATCTATGTTACTTCTTTGTTCTTGCCACAGATACCAATTAATTCAAATAAATTCCAAAGGACTGGTTGATGGTTGCAAATGGTTAGAAATGTTTGAAGACGTGAGGGCCATGATATTTTGTGTTTCCTTGAGTGACTATGACCAGATATGGTCCCATAGTAAGGGTCCTCTGCAGAATAAAATGCTGGCTAGTAGAGATATGTTCGAGCATTTAGTGAGGCACCCTTGTTTTAGGAATACCCCTTTTGTGCTGCTGTTGAACAAATATGATGCATTCGAGGAAAAGATAAATCAGGTTCCATTGTCGACTTGTGATTGGTTTCATGACTTCTGTCCTGTGAAACCACACACCAATATTCAGACATTGGCACAACAAGCATACTATTACATTGCAGTGAAATTCAAGGAGCTATATTTATCCATTAGTGGTCAAAAGTTGTTTGTTACGCACACACGAGCTCGAGAGCGTGGCTCCGTGGATGATGCATTTCGGTATATACGCGAGGTTCTCAAATGGGAAGAAGAGAAGGACTATCCTATGTATGATATCATTGGAGACGAATCATTCTACAGCACTGAAATAAGTTCCTCACCGGTTATGAATAACTTGCCAGTGACTTGAGACTAGTTGGACACTAGTGGTTCTTTCTGTAAGAAAGGTGGAACGAGCAGTTGAATTGGTTCATCTGTTCTCAATAGAAAACTTTTGGTTTTCCGTTTTTCACTTTTTGGTTTGAAATTCTTAAATGGATATTATGATTCATAGATTAAGAACACAGATTGGGATGCTGTATTTGATAGGGTAGGGGAGATTTATTTGTGGATTTAGGTTGATTTGTTGTCTGTACAGCAAGTGCCTTGTTTAAAATAAGCAATAAAAATCAAGCTCTTGTCGATTCATGTCTTGGTGTTTTGGTTAACAATAAAAGCATGAGAAACTAAACCAAGCTCCTGTTTAAGCCTCTTGGTTAGGTTAATTTTTGCTTAAGCTCTTGTCGATTCATAACCTTTTCAGATTTGGAATCGTTCTTTTCAGGTTAATCAATTGAAAGATTTGGACAGCATTGAGGACCACGCGTATTATAAGTGGTTAATTCTGAAAGTCTCTCTCACACTGTTTCAAGCGTTTTATTATTATTATTTTTTCTATCTCGTTTTTCAGTTATCGTGTTTATGGTAAATGCTGGGTAGTCGAGTGCATTTGATAACTATAATAATTTTTTGATACATGATCACTATGAACTCGGTGGGATCAAGTCATTCTACTGCATAATTGTTTAAAAGCTCATGGGATATTATCAAACATGACATCATGGCAACCTTTCATGATTTTTATCCCATTGGAATCATTAGTGTGGAGCTAATAAGACTTGTACCTTATAAAGTCTTATACCACTGCTTATAAGATTATTGCTCGGATTCTTCTAATCGGCTAAAAAGTCCTTCCTATTATCATAGCTAAAAATCAGATGACATGCATGGATGCTTTGTTGATAGAAAGTGAAACCACCGATAATTGAAAAACTAATAAAAAATAAATTATAACAGTCTGAGGTCACCGCTAGCAAATATTGTTCGCTTTGCCCCATTACGTATCGTCATCAGCTTCACAATTTTAAAACTAGGGAAATGTTTCTATACCCTTAAAGAATGCTTCATTCCTCATCAGCCTCACAATTTTAAAATTAGGGAAATGTTTCCATACCCTTAAGGGATGCTTCATTCCTCGATCCCCTCTCCCGATCTTTTTTTGTTTTTATTTTTAAGAATATTGAATTGCCATATACCCTAAATTTGGCTACAAACATTGTTAAGCAACACAAAAGGAGTGGATCCGCTAGAGGAGTTGTTACTAGCTTTCGTCGTGAACTGCCAAGAGACAGACCAATGAAGACACTACCATATGGACTAGTTAAAAAATTTCATCAAAATTATAAGAACAAAATTTTAACTTTTAAAATGATAGAACCTAATTATTTTCTTTTTTCAAATTATAGAAACTAAATTATAATTTAATAAAAAAAAAAAAACGTTCCATAATATAAAATGAATAAGAACAATCAAATCATTTAAAATTTGACAACTTAGCAATTCAACAAGTGAGAACTATTTTATAAATTTCATCGACTAAAACGCTACTTTTGAATCTTCAAGGACCAATAGACACTATTAGGGTCCAAAAAGTGTATTAAAAGTATGAACTGAAATCACAAAGAGTTGGTGTAAGCAGACTCCCCCAACAAGCTATTTTCCTACTTTAGTTTCTGGTTTCTTGAAAAGAACTACTACAAGAGCAACCGAATAAAATGACCAATATGCTTACAGTTGCAGCAGCACATATTCAGTACTCCAGTAGGATCATGGTGTCTTCAGTAAAAGGAAATGCTATACAACAGCTTTCTTCTTTGATGTTTCTCGAAGGCAATCACAATATCATCAATCGTATCTTCCCATGATTCAGCCCGTTCAATCTATCATAAAAGAGAAAAAAGAAAAAAAGAAAAGAAAAAAAAATCATAACAAATCCACACAAACGAATGATGAAAAGAAATTCAAGAGAGCTGGACCTCCTGGCAAAGATCAAAAGTAAGCCGTGCTCCTATAGCTGCCTCCTCGTGGTTATCTTTTACCTCCAAGTTTACAATCAGTACAGTTTTCATCAGGACATGATCACGTGTATTGAGATCTGCTCAATTATTGCATAATTATCATCAGACGGTTGAGCAGAAAGAATATTTCAGAAGCAGCCACCTTGATAAATGAGTAATATCAGAAGTATAAATGAACATGAGCACACATTGAACGCCAAGAACGCAAGCTTATGATGCAATAATCCAGACTAAACAATAGTTCCTTGACATAATATCAGATAATATAGGCGTATCTTCTTCCTTTTTTTTTTTTTTGGTAAGAGACAAAAGGTGTCCTAAACAAGTGCATGAACAAAACCTACTTATGCCTCATCCCGAAAAGAACAGGAGGGTCAAAGGTGGCTGATTATAGGTCCATTAGCCTTGTAACTAGTGTAAATAAAGTTGTGGCTAAAGTTCTTTCTAATAGGCTAAGGACTGTTGCCTCTTATCATCTCTTATGGTTACTTGATGTTCATTTTTGAAGATGGATCCTTGATTTAGTCCTTGTGGAAAATGAGCTAATTGGTGAGTACAAATTCAAGAAGAAGAAAGGTTAAATGATCAAGCTTGATGTCAAAAAAGCTTAGGATGTGTTGCCACTTATCATCTCTCTTATCCACTTGATGTTCATTTTGGAAGACAGACCCTTGATTTAATCCTCGTGGCGAATGAGCTAGTTGGTGAGTATAAATACAAGAAGAAGAAAGGTTGAGTCATCAAGCTTGACTTCGAAAAAGCTTAGGAAGTCGTGGATTGGGATTTTTTGCTTGATGTCCTTCAAAACAAAGGCTTTGGAAAAAGGTGTGGGATGGATAGAAGTTATATTACTAACATCTTCTTTTCAATCTTTGTTTTAGATGGCTAAGAGGCCTTATTTAAGCATCTAGAGGCTTGATGCAAGAGACACCTTAGCCCTGTCCTCTTTGTGATTGTAGCTGATGTGATGAATGCTGGAGAAGGCTTATGAAAGAGGAAGCATAAATGGCTTCTTGGTGGGTAGATATCAAATTCACGTGAGTCTTGTTCTTAGAATATAGTGAAGATAAGTTAAAGTCAAAGGTGATTGTCGACATTTTTGAGCTAGTTTTAGGGCTTAAAATCAATTGGCAGAAGATTACCATTTCGGTCACAAATCTAGATGAAAGCAAAGAAAAGAATGCTGCTGAAAGATGGAGTTGCAATGTTGGGAACTGGCTTCTGCCTAACTTAGGAGTTAAGAGTGTCATTGGAGCAACCCTAAGTTTCAAATGTTTTGGACTCCAGTTGAGGAGAAGATAGCCTCTAAGATCTCAAATTAGGGTAATCTTTTATGTTCAAGAGGTAGGAACACACACTTGCTCATGCAGTTCTTTCTAGCATCCCAATCTATTACCTCTAAATTTTTAGTGCTTTGGGAAGGTTTTACAGAGTCTGGAGACGTCTATATATGATTTCTTCTGGAGAGGAGCCTCTAAAGAGAGTGGAGGCATTCTTGTAAATTGGAAGACCACATCACTCCCTGCATTTAAAGAAGACCTTGTTATGAGTAACCTTAAAGGTAGAGCATCAGCTTACTTGCAAAATGGGGATGGAGATTTATGAAAGGGCCAGCTGCCCTATGGAAAGAAGTAATCGCTAGCAAAGGAGGAGCGGTTCCGAATTAGAAAGGCCACCCGCCCAACCAAGGGGACTAGAAATCCATCTATAAGACTTGTTGTATAGCAGAGAAATTGAATAAAATTAATCTTGACAATGGTGAAAATCAACACAAATAAAAGCTTTTTCAATGTCTAATTTCAGAATCCATCCTCGCTTCTTTTTAGCTCTATAAACTTCCACAACCTCATTTGCTAGTAAAATCGGATCGAGGATTTGTCAATTGGCCATCCGTAATCACATGACAAAATGCATCTGGAGAAGTAATATCCGTAAGAAGGTTTAAATAACTTTCTGGCAGCTTTCCATTGAAGAACTTAACAGCAAGGAGTGATTTCAAATTAGGCATCAAAATTGTCTCCAAAAAATTGGCATATCCTTTGTAGAAAGGGCATAGGGAAGAAACAAGTTATCTTTTTCTTCACAGTAAATACAAAAACTCTCTGTGAAATACATCATCAACAATTTCAGCATCTCTTGAAGCCTCCCATCATCAGTTAAAGAAACCATGGAATAGAACAGTGCTTACCTGGGCACAACCTAAAAATTAGCGAAGATTCGAATTCTTTGCATAAATACCACTATAAGGGGCATTTGGGAATAAAACTAAGTATACTGCTTTTAACTTCCTCAAATTGGAGCTCTTAGGCTGCCTTTTGCCTAGTTTTCAGATGTATCCCATTCGTTCTACTTCATAATTGTTTGTCTTTATTCAGCGTCAAATGACATGAGAAAAATCATATTGGATTATAAGATGTGGTTTGCAACAGGGAAGAAAATCCTATTTCTAAGGGAAAAATAACATTTTTTATCCAAGCCATTATGAATTATATTACTAAATTTACCTAAAAACCAACATGACAGTGACACATGCATCTGACACAAACATAAATCTTCCTGAGCCTAAATATCACTACTATACCATCTATGATTGCAACCAACATGAGCATAGCTTAGAAGTTAAAAACGCCTATTTTATCCTTTGTAGTAAGAGGTTCAAATCCACATCTCCAATGCCCACAAACCATGCATGGTCAATGGTACAATATAAAAACCAAAGTCACAACTGAAGGAAAAATTTTGATTTGAGTGAAAATTTGGACTGTGTACAGAGATATTCTTTTGCAGAGATGTCCCTGCAACAGCGTGATCTGCGTAAATGTTAGTTTGAGGACCTTCATCACTTATTGTAGGAAGTTCGTTAAGTCCCTTTGGGTAGGTGCTCCTTTGATTTAATTTGGGTGTGGAATGATGATTGTTTTGCTTCAATCGATAAGGCGCTTATGGGGTCACCTTTTCATGAGAGTGGCACTATTTTGTGGCATGCTAGTTTCTTTAATATTTTGTGGGGAATTTAGGTTGAAAGAAACAATCAAATTTTGAGAGAGTTGGAACAGTCTTGTGGATGAGGTCTAGAAGGTGGTTAGGTTTAATGCCTCTCTGTAGGCATCAGTCACTAAGCCTTTCTATAATTATGGTCTTACCTTGATTTTGTCAGATTGGAGTCCCTTTCTGTAGCTTTTTGGGATGTTTGTTTTGATTTCTTGGGCTTGTTTTTTCTATTGCCCTTATATATTCTTTCATTTTTTCTCAATGAAAGTTCGATTTCTTACCGATGACTCCACTTCGCTCCCACTTAATGTTTACCCTGATCTTACACTGGCCATTTCCTCTCTACAAGTAAAATTTCCTCACACAAAGTCTTTCATCAAGGATTCATGACTTCTAATTAATAATTATAAAACACAAGTACAAAAAAACCTCCTGAAGCTGATATAGAATATGTAATCACTGTTTATATAAATGCTAGGGATTGATCATCAAAATACTTATAAGCACCCCACAACTTCTTGGTCCAACAGCAATCAATCACAACCAAGTCCCAATGGCAATATAGTCGCAATAAATCTTATATATATAGCACAGAACTGCTGAAAGTAAACTTGAAAAAAAGCATCGTTAGAGCTCGCAAAAGAAGCCAAGAATTCTACTATCGTACATTGCAGAGCCATTAACTTTCACAAGCATAAATTCAAGAAGGCAAACTAACCTTCAATAACCATATCAAAGACCTTTTCTTCAAAAGTAAATACCACATCAAAGAAACCGTCTGCTGCATTATCTTGCCAACGTTGAGGAGCCGTTTTGACTGCTGCATTTCTCTTAAGCATAGGCAGAATGCCATTACGCTTGTATCTATGCAAGTTTTAAGGTTAAACCACTACTGAGATCTAGAACAGTCCAACTGGGAAATTTAGAAAAAAAAAAAAAAAAAAATGCCGAAGACAAGAAAATAGTACCACCAGTCTTCGTGGGAGGGGGAGAAAAAGGATACAGTTCAGGATCTTTTCGGCGGAGATCATCAAACATGTGCTTGTAGGGAGTACCAAAATCGTATACATTAGGTTCTCGGAGAGAAGGTCCGGGAAGCTTGACGTGAGCCCCAGTTCCATAGGATGAAACGTTGAAGCCCTTGCTTTTGAGGATAGAGTGAGCCTCCATGCTTCGATTCTGGTTAGATGAACAAACCATTGCATAACGATACTTCATGGCGAATCTCCGATGAGAAACCGGCGTGGGAGCAGCACGATTACGGTTGATCACAGTTGAATTTCGTCGGGAATTTGAGTACTCTAAGCCTTCATTTTACCCATAAAGAAAGGACAAAGATAATTTCTTTTAGGATTGCTCTCAGAAGGGTTGTTTGGGCCTTGCGGCGGCGCGAGCCGCGAGGTGGGCTTAGTCGAGAGTACTCCAGCAACCACAAATTCAAAAACTATATAATAAAATAATAATAAATAAATAAATAACTTTGAACTTCCTCTGTATATATATACACACGTATACTAAATAAATAAAAAATAAGAATTTATTTCTATCCCTAAATTTTTAAAATTTTCAATAATATTCTTAATAAAAAAGTTTTTAAAAATATCCTTAAATTATTATTATTTTAAATATATCCTTAAATTATTATTATTTTAAATATAGAAATCAACTAATATTTTAGTGATATTTTATTTCACAATGGAATCAATTTAAAAAAGACCTAAAGTTAGGAATTTATCAATCCGTAATGTTGCTCCAATACTCAACCAAAGGGTTACTGCGATACCAATCGAAAAGACGGTTATCATGAACGACGAAATAGATTTTGGAATTTAGTGACTTAACAGAATTATTCAAATATCATCTCGTGAATTATTAGCTTTTTATTTGGTAAAGTCTACCGAATCAATTAAAGTCATTCTTATTCATACAAATCAAAGGATAATCATGAACTATAAAAATTTAAAACTCACTTAGGATTAAAATCGAGGGATTATCATACTGAAATATTAATTTTATTAATCGACAAAATTGGAAAGGATCCTAGAATCTTTTATCACATAGAAACCCTCAACTTGGAGGTTTATAAAGGGACTCTCAAGCTATGTTTTGGAGATAGCAAGGATCCTAGAATCTTTCCACTTTTGGTCGAACCGAATTTCTCTCAAACTCTATTCATTTCAAAGCTAAGTTAGAGTAGAACGAATCAATTTCAAACTAAAAGTTGTGTTCCACACGCTTCTATTCATTCAAAATCTCTACTATTCATTCAAAAGAGCTTCAACAGAACATCATAGTTTCATAAATCCCAACTCTAAAATTAGACCTTAAACACACAGAATCAAAGCTACAATAATCCTAGAACAATTAGAACTCTCAAAAAAAACTACAAGCTAAACTGAAATCTAATCATAGAAGAAACCAAAGTTATGAGGTACTAAATGTTGCAGCAAAGTTGTGTTTCAGCTTTCACTTCTTCTTCTGCACCAATTCTTTGTTCTTCTTCTTCTTCCTCTCAAATCGGCTTCTCCTCCTTTTTTTCAGATCCCTTTCTTTTTCTTTTCATTTTCTGTTCTAAATGAGTTGCCACTGAGTCCATGCCATTTTTATGCTATTTTCTCCAGCTCAAGATGCTACAGCTTTGCTGTACCAATCCCACAATCTTTTGCTTTCCACCTTAAAAAAATCAAAATAAAGGATAAGACAACCCTTCATGAAAACACTAGATTGGAGGTGAAAACTAGTAAACAAGGATGATGAAGCTATAAACAATGTTAACTTCTAAATTAACTTCAAACAAACCACACAAAATAAGAGAGAACAATGCAAAATTGCACCACTTCGCCAAAGAATAAAGTTACCATAAGACCTATATCACAGGATTATCAACCACAGAGAACGCAAACAGTTATAGCCAATAAAAACTGGATTAACAATAAAAGAAAATATTCAATAAACCAAGAAATATATGTGATTCCCCCCCCC